CCAGATGTGGAGAAGAGCAAACAAAATTTTAAAAAGTTTAAAGGAAAGTAATTCATTATTTTTGTGTATTTAACCCGAAGAAAAAAGACAAACAGAACAAGACAAAAAAGGCATTCCTCTTTCTGGGCATGTTATGCCTCTGATATCTGTACCAAACAGAGCACAGACAAAAACCTGTTTACATGCAGGGATGAGTCATGCTCCCAGCTGATGGTTCCAAAGCAGGCTCCCAGAAAGGAGAACCTAACCTGCAACTCACATGAGCCAATCACAGAGCTTTCGCTTGTTAGCAGCAGGCAATGGGATCAGGATAAGAGATGAGGAACAGCGAGACCTGTGCTGACCTCCAGCACCGACATACTGTCCAACTCAGGATGAGCAATTCCTCTGCTTTGGTTTATCCGACCTCCCAGCCATGAGAAGCTTTTACCTACCTTGAACTTCAGATGGAAAACTATCACTTTGTTACCCCAGCCCCGACAATGAACAAGTTTTAGCTTGATTGTGAAAACTTAAAATTTAGGATGGCCAAAAAACCCCTCAAACAATTTCAGTAAAAAGAGTTCACAGAGTCCCTCACGTACACTCATTGCCTATAAACTAAGTAACTCAGCACGAGAAAACATGATGCAACATCACCAGCCTTACAAAAGAACCGGTACTTAGAGTGGAAAAAAATCCGTAAGCTTTCCTTCTCCCTTCTTCATTTTCAACTTAAGGTATTGCTATAACAATGCACCTTGGTTATAATGCTGCAGAAGGACACAGCTGTAATATCTCACCTACGACTCCGTACCCATTATGGGTCAGCAGTCATCACACCACAGAGAAAATGTAATTGCTGCTGCATGCCTGCAGAGCAGGGAAACCACAGCGTCGCAAGACTTCTGAAATGTAACATTATGGAAAAAAGAGCCTGGACTTTGTGGCTCATCAAGCAAAAGGCACTGCTGGGGTAACAAATTGATTTTATAAAGCCAAGACACACACACACCACAAAAGCCTACTTTCTGCTTACCTATTATAACTTGGAGCTGTGCAGATATCTAGAGTATAATTCAGAGATTTAAGAAGAAAAGCTAAACAAGCCCTTGCATAAAAAGGCACAGACAACATGACTGAGCCTCCTTCCAAGTTTCACTTAATCCTGTGTTTAAAGTGCATTTAATAGTGTCCTTTGATAGCCTCCAAATAGACCTTAGGAAGGTAAGAATAGGGAATAGAGAGGAAACCACGTGACACAGAAAAAGCAAGTTAGAGTTCACCAATTGGAGCAATGAGTTCTGGACAACCAGATATGAACATTCACATTCAAAACAGATTAAAAATATGGCTCAAGTTTTGCCTTCCTTACAGAAAATGTCATTTATTACAGTTTCTCTGTAACTTCACCAAAACAAGGCAAACCATTTCTTTGTCAATTGCCAATTTGGGATCAATCATTTTGCATGCCATACGTAATCAAGCAGGAGGGGAAGGCTCTGCTCCACCCCATTCATGTTTTGCTTTCAAGATAGGAACAAGATAGAGAGAGGTGAAAAGCAATGACATGGGCAGAGCTCAGACATGGGTGAATGCTATCGAAGCCACCTAATGCTACACATTCCATCCCTATTGCTGCCTCTACACTTTCAGCACTGAGGCTGATAGCAGCTTAGCAGAAGCTCTGCAAGGTTGTAACACTAAGAATCAGCACAGAAAGCAGCTACAGAAGAAGCATTCCTCGTGGCAGCAGGGCAATCCAAGCAACAGCTCAGCAAGCAGCTCATGGTGCAGCCCCACAGCCCTGGAGGACAGCTGCCTGCAGGGGGCAAGGAGCAAATGCAGTGTCAGACAGAATTCCCCCCCTCCTCAACTGAAATAAATCACTTCTCAGCAAGTTGCAAGCCTCAGCCTCCTTACCCCCCCCCCCCAGATTAAAGGCAGACTTAAAGGAATGTTTACTAACAGAGTGCTCCCTCCCTCAGCCATTCCTAATACGTATCAACTAACCACATTCTGCAGAATTATGCTAGGGATGCCCTTGATTCAAAAAGTACTTCTAAGCCAAAGGATACCTGTAAAGACAATCAAAAAGCTTGCTAGATGTAGGATACAATGTTCATTTTGTTTCTACCCAGTTTGCTGACCACTAGAAGAGCGCCTGTGGCATAAGAGCATCTTTCTTTGAAAGATCTACCAGCAGGCTTTTGCCACTCTGTAGAACAGGATGAACTGGGCTTCAGTGTCTCAGGTCTTCCATGTGATAACAGGAGGCAGGACAGATGTTCCAACAGACAGCTTTCAGTCTGCTCACTAAGCAAAGCCAAACCCCTGTGGGATTCCTACTGAAATTTCAGGAAGTGGTGATGTTTTATCCCAGCACCAAGTATGCTTTTGAAGATTTCATTTGCCTGCTACATGCTTTGCATAACGATTATACCACTAAAAGAGGGAAAGCTAATAATAAAAATTAAATGCTAATTTACATTTGACTGCATAATACCACAAAGATAACTTGTTTTTAAAATTACTTACTTAAAATACGACACGGATGAGCAATATTGCAAAAATATCTATTACAAAGAAGTTCAGTGCGAGCAAAGCAAGAAAACGGGAAGGAGGAGAAGGAGCAGGGCTTGCTCCAGTGGGACAGGGCTGGTGAATAGGTATGTGCCACAGATGCTAAGGAGGAGAAGTAAACAATAAGATGAGCTTTTCTATACAACGTGGGAAGGAACCCCTTCTCCTTAGGAACTGAAAGTACAAAAGAAAGTCCCTGAAAAAATGACCTATTTTGTGGACTCAGGCTGCTTTAGTCACAGCACAGGAACCAGTTGTGACCCTGAAGCACCTTCTGATCTGTTCTCTGGACAGAACCTCCTCCCAAAGATGGCAGGACAAGCACCAGTGCTGGGCACAGAGCATAAATCCTCGACCACCAACCCTGCTGTGTGCATGGCCCACCACGGCTGGCAAACACACAACAAAAGCAGAACATACTCTCTCCAGATGAAATCCCCATCTTTTAAGCCTACAGCAAACCTCTCCTTAACTTCAAGGTGTCAGGAACTCACTGCTCAGAGCACCTGCTGCCAACAGCCTGATGCAACACAGCAAACTGCTGCCCCAGGCCCATGCCACAAACCACTGGTAAGGATATCAACCCTTAGTACTCCTGCAAGTGCTCGTTAGCATTGCACTAAGAGGCAAATTGCTCTGCTAGTTTCCTTAATATAGATGCTAACACAATGCTAAGTAATGGTATACAAGTACTTCCTCCCCCACATTCCGCTAGCAAACTTAAAAATATGTAAAAGAATAATTTGACCTTCCTGCTATTTTCCCTTTTCTTTTCTCTATTTAATTCAAAGGCATTCTAAAAGGAAAACAGATACTTAGAAAATATACCTCCAAGTAACTTCTGCAATTATTTTCAGACAGCCTGGAAACTGCTCAATAGGAGGGGAGAAAAAAATGTCAGATTTGGCAAAACCCAATTTTGCCCCTATCTCCTTCTTATTCTTTGCATGTTATGTCTGTGGCACTGCTCTGCCTTTGGCTGACAACATAATTTTGGCAGTACTGATTTCTTCTTCAGCACAACGAGCGTTTTGACATCTTCTGGTTGCAACCAAAGCCCACGTTGGGGAGCAGACAGGTGTGACTGGGAACAGGCTGAGAGCACTTTTGAGAGCAAAGAAGTCAATGGTGAAGTCAGTTGCTGAAACCAGGGCTGTACAGGAGAGGATGAGGCAAGAGAAGGGAAACAACCAGGTGATAAAGGCAAAGGCTGATCTCTTTTCATGGATAGCAATTGGAATGGAGCTTCAGTAACTTAGTTATGTCCCCAGTTCACTCAATTGCTCAGAGCTCAGCAGAACACCTGTATGAGAACAGTCCTGGCACCCTCATGGACTGCCCAGGCTGCAGGCAGTGGAACTGCACACACCTGGGCCCTCAGCCCACAGCCACCCACCAAGAGCCACCGCTCCACACACAAGTTAAGAATAGCAGCACTTATTGCTTTGGTAAAGAACTGCTTTTGAGGGACTATTATAATAGTAGAACAATTAGAGCTTACTTTTAAACATTTAAACTTAGAGTTCCTAGGGAATTTGCTCAGTAACATATTCAGTTCTAATGATCTGAAGAGAACAATCTGATTTGAACTCCTGTAAGTCTCCCCTCTTATTTGAGTGTCCCCAGTGATGCAGCAACTCATACGAACCTTTTAAATAAAGCTAGCAATCACTCACCAGCACCTCACTGCAGTTTTTGCAGTAGCTTTGTTAAGAATTCACATATGCCCAAAGAGACGGTGCCCACACAAACCCGCTTGGACGAACTCAGCCAACGAAACTTCGGTACGATGCCAGCTAGAGTGACACGGAGGGCCAGGAACGGTCAAGACTTGGAGACAGCAGCAGAGAGAAGCCGCATCCTCAGACCTGTTCCCAGCATCGGGGCGGGGGAGGGGGGAGTCAGGTGCAAGGACGTGCGCTGCCCTGCAGCTGCTCCGCTGCCAGAGGGTGGGGAGCCGCGGCCAAACGCTGCCCCGAGCCCGAGGCCGCGCGTGCTCAGGGCTATACCCGGTCCCGACCGACGCGGCCGAGGCCACGGGAAGGTGCCCCCAGCCCGCTCACGGGCACGGGGAAGCAGTTACGCACGCACCGAGCCGAGCTTCGCCACCAACGGATTTCTGTCCCCGAGCCACGAGCGAGCGCAGTCGCTCCCGGCGGTTCCCCATCTCTGCCGCAGCCCCGGTACCAAAAGTGGCCGTCCCCAGCCCCCCCGCCGCCCTCCCGCAGCCGCCGCTCCCCCATCCCCTCCGCGTCTCCCACACGCCCAGGTGCGGAGCCGCGGCCGAGACCGCCGCACGGCCCCGCGGGTGCTCCTCCCCCGCCCCGCAGGCCCGGGACGGCTCCGCCAGGGCACGGCCCATAGGCGCCGAGCGGGACGCCGAGCCGCGGGAGGCGGAGGAAGGGCCGAAAGGAAGGGCTCCACCTGCCCGTACTCACTCCGCGTAGCCCGTGGTCCAGGGCAGGCGCCGCGTCTCCTTGCTGAGGATGAGGATGGGGCGGGCGATGTGGTCGGCGGAGCACTCGACCTCGTCCGGGGACAGTCCCAGGAACTCGGGTCTCCCGTAGGGGAAGCGCAGCGGCAGGTCCGCGCCGCCGCCGTGCTCGGCGCCCGCGCTGCCAGCCATGATGCCGCCCATGAAATTGGCCACGGCGGACTTCACCCGCGTGAGCATAGTACCGCCGCCGCGCAGCGCGGGGAGCGGCAGACCGGCGGCGGCCCCGCCGAGCTTCCGCAACGGGGGCCGGGCCGGGGCGCGCGGGCTCAGCGGGCGCGGGGCCGCGGGCTCATTGCGGCAGCGGCAGGTTCCCCCCCTCCCGGCGCGGCGCCGGCTCAACTCAGCCCGGCGGCGGCTGCTGAGTCATGTGACAGCGCGGCGGGATGCGCCCGGGCGCTTCCTGCTCCTCCTGCGGCGCCCGCGGGCTCCGGGCGCACGCCGGGCACGGGCCGCCCCCACCCTCCTGCCGCCCGCCTCCCGCGGCGGGGGCGGCCCGCGGCAGGTGCGCGGCGGGCGGGGCCGCTCCGCTGCCGGCGGCGGCGCGCGGGGGCCGGGGGCGGGGACGGGCGGGCGGACTGTTACCTGCGGGCGGCGCGCCTCCGTCCTCTCCCTAAACACGGCGAGGGGATTTTGCCGGCGAAAGGCTTCGCTATGAAAAAGGGGTGTGGGGGTGGAACGAGGCCTAAAGCGCGTCCTGCAGCCGCCCGCCGGCAGGTCCCCATCCCGTCCCTGGGGTTCTCGTCTGCAAGGGTGCTGTGCAGCCCCCGGGACTACCTCGTGCACAGACGGGATGCTGTCGTAAGGGTTTGCTCACAGAAAGGACGGGCCTGGACGTTTTCAACTGTGAGAGAACACAGAAGTTGTAAGCCCTTCTTGCTTAGCCCTATTGACCGCATCATGTTTCTTCACCAGAGCCCTGGCAGACCTGCTGCTGGCTGAGGCCACCCGAATGCACGCAAAAGTTGCAGGGTTGGGTGTGCCAAGCTTTGGGAGATCAGGGCAAGAAGAAGGCAGCAAGGGCACTCAGAAAGTCTGTCCCCTGCAGATATGTGCCCCATTACATCACAGTGCTCTTGAGAGCTGTAAGTGATCCCAAGGCAGCGTGACCTGCGAGCTGAGATGCAGTCGGCACAGCCGGCTGTGAGGGTGGCACCGCAGTGGTGCCGAGCAGCGAGACGAAGGTTCGTCACAGCCGGGCTGGTGGGAGGATCAGCTGCTGCCACGTCGGCTCCTGCCAGAACCAGCCAGTACATGCCGAGTGCAGGCACAGGGTGGGGGCTGAGCTCTGTGACTGCCTTCCATTGCTGGTTATTAATCAACGTCCCAATAGCTGGGTTCCGGTGTGGTCCCTGTGCTTTGTGTACGGACATTTGGGCGTTGGAGATTCGTGATCCTTAAGGTCCCTTCCAACGCTGGCCATTCTATGATTCTGTGACATGAGGAAAGCAAGGCTGTGCAACAGTTCCCAGCCTCTGTAACAGAGCTGTCTGTGAATTAATTTAAAGAACCAGGAGGAGACCGGTGAACAGGGACACGACCAATGTGTTCCATGCTACTTGAAGGAGAGTTGGACAAATAGTAGCTCCAAATTAACCATTGAAGATACACATGTTGGTTTGGGAGGCTGGAGGCTATGTTTTAGAGCTCTGCTTTAACAGTTTCCAAGACTGAGAGATATTCTAAGGAAAAGTAAATCTCTCTTAGATAAAAAAAATGCTTGACATTAATAACTCAAGCTTTGTGTTTGTTTCGCTTTGTTTCCTGGTTATATTGCAGCAGTCATTATTTTAAAGTAAAAGAAAAGAAATAAGAAAAAAAAAACAAAAGGCTTGTTAAAATGTGGTTGGGATCCTTTATCTGGGGGCTGTAACAGGCAGCTATTCATCCTTATCCAGATGTTACAGAGGAAGGCAACTCTGAGGTGATCAGAAGCCCTTGGGCTGCTCTCTTAACAGGACAGTGCCCAGTCCAGCTCCCTGCCAGCCCCTGATGCCTGAGGATAACCTCTTTCATGTCTGCTGGATGGTTTTCCCTAGTGTCATCCACACTGCTGTCTGAGGGAGGGAGGAGTGACAAGAGGGACATGAGCAGAACTGGGCACTGCCCTGAGGAGGCTCCTAATTTCTGTGTAAAAGTAGAGCTCCTCTCAGCTTATCACACTGGATAAGCTGACTGAATTATGCAGTATGTTAACCCATGACCTCAACAAATACCACTGACAAGAGCTCCGGGAGGATGAGGGTTTGTCCTGTGGTCGCCGTTTTGTGCAAAATGTGAAGGAGAAATGCAAGGGAATATATATGGGCTTGTTAAGTTTAACTGATTATCTCTGCAAGATGACAAGGAAAAGCTCAGGTGAGACATATGGGGAGACAGCTTAGCAGCTCACCACTCAAAACAGATCTGTACGCTGCTTGAAATTCTGTGGCTGTTTACCTCTGACACAAGAACGCCGTGCGGATGAAGCAGGTACAGTGTGACCTTTTCATCCTGAGCGTGTAAAGATGCTTGGGTTTCATTTCTCTTTGAGGAAAAAGGATGCCATTGCTTTACTTCTGAGCCCGAGGTGAAGCCCTGCTGCTGGCAGGAATTGGGCCCAGCAGCTGGCCTGGCCAGGCCCCCCACACCTGGGGAGCTATCTGCATCCAAGTATCCATGGATGCAGATAGCACAGCCCTTCTGGGTGCTTGTTAAAGAACTGTGATGAAATTCGATTTAAAAGCCAAAAACATTTGCGATAATTTCCACATGGGTTTTGGTTCTGGCTTTGAGTGTATGGAGTGCTTGAGAAGGAGATATATTGAGTGAAGTAGCTGGGTTAATGAAGGTGAGTTGAGTCAATGTGTTTACATGTTTTCTGATTATACAAAATATGTTTCTTTTACAGAACATGCAATACTTGGGGCACTGTCTTGTGAATGACACCATACTATGCAAGCCATTGAATATAGAATCACAGAACTACTCAGGCTGGAAAAGACCTTAAAGATCATCAAGTCCAGCCACAACCTAACCAAACTACCCTAACTCTAACAACCCTCCACTAAATCTGAGCACCACATCCAAATGGTTTTTAAACACATCCAGGGATGGTGACTCAACCACCTCCCTAGGGAGCCTATCCCAGTGCTTAACAACCCTTTCTGTAAAGAAGTTTTTCCTGATATCCAACGTAAACCTTCCCTGGTGCAACTTGAGGCCATATGTTCATGTTTCTAATGAAGAAAGGACTACGGAATTTATTCCAGCAGTGTGATTCTTCTTTTCTTGTACACTGTTTATGCCTAATGTTGCTTGCTTGCTTTAGTTTTTGTTTACTGTGCTTTTTATGCTGTGATTAAAAACAATGGGAAAACTCCCAAGGACTTCTCAAATACTCTGAAAGCAGAAGTAGGTCTGGTGTGATAAAGCATTTCTGCTGGCAAGAACTTCTATATTGGTGGTATTATTGCCTTTGTACAGAGTTACCCACAGGTGTAAACTATGCTGCTGGCTTAATTCTGAGCATGTGTCAGAATAAGTGTCTGACATTCAGCAGGAAAAAAACAGTTTGTTTGCTGTTTTTTTTTTTTGTTTTTTTGTTTTTTGTTTTTTTCCAGGTAATCCACCAAAAGAAAAGCACTTGAAGCTTTATTTTTGCATGTGACTCTGCTTATGAAGATCACTGTGTCACGTATAAATGAAATTAATGATAAATGAAATTATTCTTACCTCTTCAAAAGTACCGTGCAACCCTTAATCAGCCTGAGGAAGCTCTTTACCCCTGGAGAACAACCCTGCAGAACCACAATGCCTGAGGCATCACTGATGTGGAGGTGAAAATGCCTCTTAAGCCTCTTATTAAGACATCAGTCCTACTCTTGGCAGGTCACAAGCAAGAGCACCAAGTAAATTTAAAAATAAATAGCAGTACTTGGAGTGATGTATTTCCTCTGCCATAGCTGATTTCTACTCCATCATCCTCTAGTCAATATTTATGTCACACTTGATATTTCCATTTGAGAAATGTCTGGGGCTGAAGGTCAGAGAGTGTCTCCATCAGAGCACGGTCAGTGTGATGGTCCCACAGCTTTGAGACCCAACGCAGTCCCCACAGAGCACAATGCAGGAAGTCCTGCTGAAGGCCGAACAAATTCTCAAAATGGCATCATGGCCAAAACTGCAAGTATCTTATTCTTAAGCACAAAGCATAGGACAAATTCTTCATTTTCCATTGCTGCTTTAACTACAGTGTGACCAAAACCAGTATGTATTTATGCTTGCCAAGCTGCAGTAGCTGTAGACGGCTCACCTTTCACAGCATGGTGTGTTTCACCTGCAGGTCCATCTCTGAGCACCACTCATCTCAAGGGACTTGCCAGAGATCAGAGTGAGTTGTAGGGATGAAGAGGATAAGAAAACATCCAAAGTTTCTTTTAGACTAGGGACAAAGTAGGGATAAAGCTGTCAAATGCATGAGTTTTCTGCTGGCAGGCAACATGGTTGTGCCAGTGGCCCTAACACATAGAAATTTGAGCATGCAAGTGTAGACCTCTGTCACTGCCCTTCCTTTACTCAAAACTAGGCTATGTAATCGTGTGGTGAAAGCATTCATGCCAGAAAAATGTCTTCATGTCTCTTCTCCTGATGGAGAACTAATAAATGCAAACTTCTGGACTGTGTGAAAGCAGCCCTGGTTTAGATATTTGGGCAGGAAAAAGGCCCTGAAGAGGGGTCTTAATTGACAGATGATCGCAGTAAATCACAGACCTTCTAAGGGCTTACAATCTGTATAAACATAAATACATGCTTCAACATAAGCAGTCCATAAAACTGTAGCAGTATCATGTTTGCCAAAAACTACAGAATGACTTTTTCTGTAAGAATCTGTGTGCAAGTATCCTGAAAAATAGTCATCTAATTTCACAATAAACATCATCATCAACATTTTGCTCCCACAGCCCCCCCTTACATTCCATTACCTGCACCTTTTTAATGTCTGTAGCTAAATCTGCTAATAATGGGTTGCACTGGGGATTAGCTTGTTTATGTGCTCCTGTTGTCAGTTTTTCATAGCGGGGATGGAAGAAAATGATTATATCTCTTGTGCTCCTTTGCTCTGATTCCTGTGAAAGTACATCTTGCCCTGATGATTTCATGAGCTGCTTCAAAATGTCAGCGATGGCAACGCTTTTGTTGGCAGCCTCAGCAAAAATTAAAAAAATCCTGAAAGTAATCAAATAGGTGGCAGTGAACAGACAACTGGAAA